TTTTATTCTTCAGTATTATGCAATGTAATTGAAAAAGCAAAATATCATAATTATTTATGCAATAAGCTCTTCGTAACCTAAAAAGAAAGGTTTTTATCTTCACTTTTAAAGGAATGCTTTTATATTTATACCCACCGAAATAGGTATGTATACTGCCCATCTAAATGGACTCATCAACTCAAAATGACCAGCATAATTTATCATAGTTGATTGCAAATTTATGCTTAAGTCATATACTTCGTACTATTTATGCATAGTTCCTTAGGAATTCATAATGAAAAGGCGTACTGAAATATTGCGAATAGTTGATGGGAAATGCCATAGAAGTAAACGAACGGAATGCCATCAAATAAACTCCAATCGCCAGAAAGAAAATGTGAAAAGGTAGTGAAGTGCTTTTTTGAAGGCTCCATATGAGTATCTCTGGGCAATTTAATATGAGTTATAGTGGCATCAAAGCATCCAACATTATATGCACAACATGACGACCTTAAGCGGCGAAAGACTACAGCTTACGCACGCCGAAGCAGAAGCAATAGCTTCCATCCTAAACAAGCTGTTTATATTTGCTCACACTGGTTGCTCGTATGTTTTCAGGTATTCTATATGTAAATGCAAGTAATTGCGTATACATACATACATATATGGTACATGGCAGGCTAATTAAAAATACGCCTTGCGCATGTGTGTATGTGCGTAAGGAGAAGTAGAATAAGAATCGCCCTCTAATAAGCATTCGCCTACACTAAGCTGGTAATAAAAAAAAATGCAACATAAAATTAAAAGCCCTCTACACACATATATGCATGTAACGGATGTTCGAAGGGTCTTGTATGCGAGTATGCATGCGATATGCGGTTATAAATACAGCGCTCATAATGTCGGGTCTGCCGTTTGAGTGTGTGCGTGCCGACCTGTAATTAAATGTAACCAATACCAGGCATAGGCGCGTAAAAGCAGAAAGAATAAAAATGTATACAAAGCATAAGTATATACAAATGTAATGTATTTAGCCAGACGAATGCGATGTTATGACATGGGTGTAACTTCCTTATGCTTCTACCAGTTACAAGACACATGAGCTTCACATTTGTATACCCTATAAAAAGAGTATTAGTCATCTGACCGGTAATATGACAGTCACAGCTGAAAAATTTTTGTCAGCGCGCAGCACAAAGTTTATATAATTTTCTTTAGAGCCTGCAAAAACTGATTTGTTTACATGTAAATTAACGGGTAAATTGACCGTCAGTACTGATATAACAAATTTAAGTGTATTGTTGAATCCATCAGCAGTTTCTTGTAGAGTATATACCATATATACTGGTATGTATTGGTACGTTTCCGCTGTACTGGCATTCTTACTTCTGGACGTTTTTCAAATTCAAACTTTGATACATTTATTATCACTTTTTTCTGTCTTTCGTTTGCCGTGCTTCAAGCCATTTTCTTATCATTTATTTGCTTACCCGATTGTTGTTTGTAGTAATGGCGGTGGTGGTGTTGTGTTTTGCGGCTAAGAATGAGTTCCTGTGAGTAACCATGCAAGTTCTGCATTAATGTGCAATTAGTTGGTTTAACACTAGGAAGCAATGTGTTAAGCTGAAAACAAAGGCCGCGAAATGAACAATGGAAAACCAAAAGCCGCACTATAAAAATACGCGAAATAAAAAATAATTATTTGAAAACCGCCTTAGAAATAAATTAAACGTATAAAGGAGTGGAACGTTACTAAATTTTTACACATTTAAGAAATTTTCACAAAATAAAAAAGCAGATTTCGTCTATTATATCTCTATATTATATCACAAACTCGAGAAACTGTTTTTTAATTTGAGTTTAATTAGAAAATTTATATTTATTTTTTTGAAGGCGAGCATAAGTGGAGCTGTAGCTTTTATTATGAAAAAATAAACATTTACATATATATGTATGGTATATATTTCAGATTTATGCAAACTTAAATTTTGCACTCTATCTTCACTCAAAGCAACAAAAACCCAGCTCTGATTGCAGTAGACGGCTACAGCTGCTGCTGTCATAAATCTTCGGCAAGTGTTGTTTGCCATTTGGCATCGAGCGTTTATGGCCTTTAAAATTTACAATATGCTTCTGAGCGGTAAGTCCTGCTCGCACGCACACACAGGCATGCCTTACCATTTTGCGCAAGTAAGAGCATACAACTGTTGTTGTGATAGTTGCTTTGCTATGCAATGCAGCTGCTTATTGTTATAGGTTATCACTGAAAAGGCGAGTCTGCTGTTGCTATTATTGTTGTCATCGTTGCTTTTGTATCGTGCAATTAATCAGATGGGTGCACGTGTTCAAACAAATGTCTCTCCGTCAATGCAGAGATGTTTGGCACTGACAGCCTTAATGCGTAGCAATGCACTTCAACAGGTCTGCAAATATACGAGTACCGATATGCACAGCCACACATTAAAATAAAAAAAGTGCAAGTAACACGCAAGAAATAAAAACTAAAATTTCATTTATTAAAAAAAAAAAACTCATTGCGATACTAAAGGAAAAGCTATTCCTCTCTTTTGCAGGTCATCAGTGGATGCTCCACAAAGTAAAATAAAACCGCATTAAAAAGACAATAATATATGGTTTTTTTATTTTTCTCATTCTGGTGCAATGGTTGATATTTAAATGAATATTTAAATAAAGAAAAATATTTAATTAAAGTCTTCTCTTTCGTATTTGGTATAAAGTTGGCTTTCTTGCTGCCGTCAAAACAACTATGTATCTATCCAAATCTACGATTACACTACTTTACAGTCATTTTGCGACTGTGATGTTGGAGGCTGTTTCTTGCCAATTTTGGGTTGCTAAAACCGAAAATGCTTGTAAAAATGTCTTAACAAGTATATAGGCGTGTGGTTATTAAATCACCACCATATATTAAAACGACAAGAATAGTTGTAAGGGATGGAAAATTTTTGAACTTTAATTCGTAATCAGTACACCACAAATACGCCCACAGACCGCTTAGCACATCAGTCGCAAATTTTTCCTTCAGATTTGTTGAGTCGTGTTATTGGCAGACTCTGGCGGAAACCGATACTGGGCGAATACACATTACATTCACACGACGACTGCAACAATATCGCTAGACAAACGTTAACAGCACCCACCTGTACAACATAAGCATCAACAGCAAAAACAACCAAACAACAACAAGCTTAAATGATTGTTGACAAACTGACAAGTGGCTTTGATGACCATTAACACAAATACCAGAGACACCGGCTGCCTTGCAGACCATAAATAACCGTTATGCTCTTAGCATTGTCAGCGGAGCGTTGGTGTGGTTACATGCACCTTCGATTACCGATAGTTGCATACCCCGTAACATTCTCCTAATCAATATCAATTATGTAACCTGTGAAAGGAAGTTATCCTCTTATCGTCAATGATTGTCTTAAGCGTAACAGCAACAACCACTATCATTAGCAACATAACGCTTATTGCATATTCACTGGCAACACAACGCTGCAAATGACAAGCACACATATACCGCACTCACTATACATACATACTCGTGTGCATGCCTAAGTTGGCGTTGCTGCTTATCAATCACCATATTTCACATGAAACAGCAGTTTCAGACAATCACGGCGATCACAGATGAATTAATGCCACTTGAGACCAAATATTATAGGTACAAACAGGCGGTTTGTATGTTATAGCTGTCTCTTGTATAGTCCCCAACACCTGTTGGCTGGCTGTTACCCTAAGCACAACAAATACGTATATCTTGTATATTAGAATTAGAATATGTAGACACTATTACATCGTTCGATAATTTCTAGCTTCAAATATCTTAAAAAAATCTCTGAATGTCGGAATAATAAACGTCAAATACAGTTTAACAAAAACCAGTAATAAATGAAAAATTATGTCCGCAGTACAAATAAACCAAATACTAACAGCAAAGGCTTTTTGACAATAAATGCCACAGAAAGTCTGTCGATTTTCCGAGAGATATTAGCGACCATCAAGTAATCGTATAATTCAATTTATAAGGCGAGCTATGCCGGCGGCCACCAAAAATAAGATAAATGCTATGGAGACAAGCATAAAAGAAATCAATTTGTCTATAAAATTGACAGCTATATTGAAGTCAGAAATCGCACTTAATAACTTAGTTACATATTTATGAAGGCTTACTTATGAATTGAACATTGCAATCCACTTAATACATACATACATTTTCTGCTTCTGAATTATCTTACTTACCATACCTTTTGATTCAATATACTAACATGAAATCTTTTTATATTGTATTTATGTACACATGTACAATATTTTCTGCAAATTATTTAAATCACTTAAATTTGAATTTACTAAATAATATTTTCCAATCTTACATTTTCAAGCATATTAAGTTTTGCAAATATACAAATCTCACGCACGGAACTCGAAGTAAATTTTCGAATACCTGTCACACCTCGGGAGACAAGCCCATGTCAAAATCATCGCAAATATTTCTCAAATGAATATTTGGCTTATTAAATTTTTAAGCAGTTTGGTAAAGCATAAATCTAAGAAAACTGTTGCTAATATCAACAATCACAGAAGGGCTAAGTGGGAGAAGGGTGTAAACGAACATTTAATACTCTTACTTTGAAAAATACCACTACTTTATTTCATCTAAATATTGAGAGACTATATATATTTGCACTATATTATAAAACGTTAGTGAAACATTTGAGGGAGACAATCGAAGAAACGGGACTGGTCGGAAACGGACCTAGACCGGTAACTTTTTTTTATATTATCAAACTTCAAGCTCGTTCAAGACAGTTTTTTTTTTGACAACAGGTAAGAGGCCCATTTTGAACCAAATACAAATAATACTGCAAAAATGATATGAAAGATTTGGAAAATCTCTGTGTGTATTGTTAGCAATGACAACTCTATTGAATAATAAAATTGAATTTGCTAGCTTTATACAAAAAGTAAAAAACGTAAGAATAAAACAGGAATATGCATTGATTTAAATCTTTAAAAATTATCATATTTTACCATTATTAGCAATTATCGTATATAAATAAATATCACTTTCAAATTGCTTATTCCTAAACTGGTATATTGTTAATTAGCGCAATAAACTAGTGCTGGTGTACCCAGACATCCTATTGATTTTGAAGTTTCATCACATTCGACTTAAATTTTCGTTATAATTATAACTAAGTAATACTGTAATTTTGAAATTTCTTACAGTTTCCATAAACTTTTTTTCGTTGCTACTTTTCTACGGTGTTTTCGGGTCACCTTATTGTATAAAAACATTTACTTACGTTATGTATTGTAATAATAACCTACTAACTCTATACTTCAGGTATTATACCAAGTGCATATACAATGTTCATAACTTTAGTTGTCTTCAAAATAACCCAGATGTAGATATTTTATCAGCCGCTTTTCCAATTCTTCGAGGAACTCTTGGCCAGCATATATTCGCTTACGGGTGTCATTGCACGTCATTAGTTCATCTGGGCCAGTATCACCGCCACGGAAAGCTAACCAGGCAGGTAGAAATGTGATGAGCAGGAAGAGCTCTGCGCATGTACATAGAAAGGTAATAAATATAAATGTCATCTTAAAAAGGAATAAAAAATAAATAAAAATGGAATTTTGGAACAAGCAGTTAAGTTTACGAAGCACATTGAGTATATGCATATATAATATATTATATGTCAGATTACCGAAATATTTGTGCTGCGTTCGCTGTTCATGCAACTGCACCAAGCTCGGAATTTGTCCCTCAAATCCAATTTTTTGCAAGGTTTCCTTGAAATTTGTGAAATAGAAATACAGCCACTGAGGAAAGTTTTCACGCTGTTCTGAATCCAGCAGCATATAATACGAGTAAATTAGGTCGTTGATCATTGGACCGACATAAGACAGCTGATAATCCAATAACATCACGTCCAGTACTTTTCCTGAACTCGAATCGTGTTTAAACATCATATTTTTGCTGTGGAAATCACCATGGCACAACACATAAGAGGCATTGCCTTTTCGTGCTTCATGGTATTCCTTAAACGAGGCTATGGCGCCTTTGAATAGCTTTTCGCGAATAGATTGCAGAAGTGGTACTAAGTTGCGCATTGCAGGCATTGTCTCCAATTGTTGGATTAAAAGACTTATGCCTTGCGACATGAATTCATTTTCTTCGATTTTGGGCATCGAGAGTAGACCTTGGCGATAGTTTTCAAAATATTCCGGTTCCTTGTACAAAGTAAGCGAACATTTGTTTAGTTTCCCTTTATGCCTTATTGATTAGCAATGAAATATTCAAATAAACTCACCTCTAAATTTATTTTGTAGCTTATGGCATGCCATTTGGCCAGCTTGAGGTAGGCCTGCTTGATCTCCTCACTATTGACATAACGTTCGCGTAGTACTTCATAACCCAACGGTACAATATCTTCAAAGATTATAACCTTTCTGGGGTTTAGCTCATGAAAAAGTATGCTGTGAAGATTTTTTAAAAAAACTGAATATGAGTTATCAGAGAGCACTGAAAATTCGACTTACGGCGCCTTGAGTATTGTATCATCGCCGATGTCTCGTAATATCTGCTCGAAACGCGGTATCACCCTCGTGTACATGTCAATTTCTGTTTCAAATATTGTCGACTCCTCAAACATGTCTTTCTTGTGTCCATCCGCCGAAGGCATTGTTTTCATAATCATCTTTTTTGTTTTGTGCCTTCCATCGCACTCGTACTCAACAATGGCACGAAACATAACACTCGCGTAATGATCTCCTTTGAGCGTAGCAGGCGACAGTTCCGTCTTCAATAGCTGCAACTTCTTCGCATCGGTTTCGAAACTAAGCAACACTTTGGTGAAGAACTCATCATTCAACCACACAGGTGCTTCCAATTCATCAGCGTTATAGTTTTTGTTATTATTTGGCGCCATTTTTACGATTTCTGTTTGTGTTGTTGCAGCTTTCAGCAATACCCAAATACTGCGAAAAACCACGACTAATAGCTTACATTTATATGAATTCGACGTCCGAGATGATATTTCTGTCGCCTCTTATTAACTGTTTGCTTGTATGTGTATCTAATAAAATCAGCGATAAATTTAAATGAATCACTGAGAAAGAAAGATTACTCCTAAGTTAACGACTCAGATGTACACATAACATGCAAATTGCTTTCTTAAAAGTAGCATTTGTTATAATAAATGTCTAAATTCCGTTCTGACATAATGGGCTGCGCTTAGTTTTCTCAATTTTGAAATAGTCATAGCGAAAACGTTCAAGAACGTCAGCCGAACAAAGTTCTTACATTCATCATAAAAATAACTCCATTGTGCTCTAAAGAAGGTGCACCAAACTGCTCTTTCTTGAGATATAGATTCACAAAAAATTAAGCGGATCTAGCTTTACAGATGTACAATTCAAGAGCGATTGGACCACAGTCACTTATTTTACAGAAAAACTAGAAAAAAATGCAATTGCTGGGAATTACACAATGCTGTTGACATTGGAGCCGCTGTAAGCTTCCTACTATAGAAACTCTATTATTTTTGTATTATGTTTACATTGAATTACTTTCAGTGTACTATATTCTCAATTCTAATGTAAATGCGTACATTGATATGAATGATATGAGATGCGCAACACCCAAAGCAAATTTGTAAAACACATTTAAATGAATAACGGCGATGATAAACATACTACTACCGAACATACAATTTAATACTTACTTAGAGCAGTTATTTATTTAGTATTTTCCTCACACGCTATTTATATGCAGTCTATCTGTTAGCGAGCGTGTCACCGTGTCACCGTGTCTATAATTTAATTCAGAAAAAGTCGACTCATGGCAGTTAATATGGGTGCGGCAATGCACAGTGTTTTTTGCATACAAATTCGGTTTTCTCAAAAGATTTTTTTGTTTGAAAAAATCGTAAAATGTATTACTTGAAATCTTGAAGTCTTACTTAGGTTGATTACAGTAACTTTAATTGGTTTAAGTATTTGAAAATTTCGATTACCCACTTGTCTGCTCGCTATCATTCTGCGCTGCTCTTATCTCAAAAAATCAACAACAAAGATAGCGAGTTAATTTCGATACAAGAGAGTAAGTACGCGAATACCTCATAGTACTAGTATACCCTTTAACTGTTATGTAGTACACATTTTAGACTTCTTTTATCATTGCGAAAGGCACAAATTTTCTGAATTTCAAAAATTAAGGGGGTATTCTAGTCTAGGGACATGCCATGATTACAACCTTCCTAGTCATTTGAAATGAAAAACAAGAAAAAACGTTAACTTCGGTTGCGCCGAAGCTATAATACCCTTCACAAATACAAAGGCCCGCCCCTTACAAGAACTTGATTCCGAACGTTCAATTTGTATTTCAGCTATATGCTATAGTGATCTGATCTGACCAATTTCTGTGGAGAATAATTTGTTGCCTTAAGCAATAACTCGTGCCTAATTTCGTCTAAAGCAGCAATATGCTATAGTGGTCCGATATCGGCCATTCCGACAAATGTACAGCTTCTTAGTCAGAAAAAGACAGGTGCAAAATTTCAGATCGATAGCATAAAAACTGAGGGACTAGTTTGTATATATACAGACAGAGTAAAGTAAAAATTTGACAAAATGGCGTCTGTTTAAAAAAAAAACATTTTTTTACCATCTTTTTTATTTTCTCGTATTTTTTAAAATTAGTAAAACTTGAAATTTGGCGATGAGGCTAGTTCCTACTCGAGAGAAGTTCATAAAGAAGATTCCCTGAAAATTTCAAGTAAATCGATCCAGTAGACCTCGAGAAATTGTGGGTATCGTACTGAAAAAGTCTGGTCCGAAAAAACCCCATTTAAAGTTTCGCGTAAAGTCTTTTGTTCGATTAGACCTAGCCGAACCAGTTTGGAGGCCGGGTCAGTAATACGTCTATATCTCCGAAAATAATTTAAGTTTTCAAAAATCCTCTCGTAGATATATTCTTAAATAGTTAAATTTTGAAAATATAAAAAAAATCCATTTTTTTTGAAATTTATACCCTAAATACCCCGTAAAAATACAACGATTTTCAAAAAAACTTAGGTCTTAAAATAAAATAAAATTGTTTATAGAAAGGGCATGCACATCGCTCAAAACCAAGCGAGTACTAAAATGTTATAGTTTATTTGATTTGCTGTTTGCCAACGCTTGGCGAAACGAAGACAGCTATTATAACATGCTGTAAGTATTCCGGAAGTATTGTGTAACGAATGAGAGACATAATAAATATTTTCAAATATAAGTGCACTTCACTGAAATTAAGGCAATTAATATTTTTAGCGCAATGTAATGTAAACTGTGTGAGTCGACAACTAAAATGCAAAACAATGTATAATCAAAATATCGGAAATTTACTTTTTTTAATGATTTCGATTCGCTAAATCATTTTACATATAAATTAAAAATTTTAAGTTTCGGCTATCAGAGCTAACAAAGTTATGACCGAAACTCAAATTTTGTTTCAATGTGAGTATTTTAGACTTTCTATTGCATTTACTTCTCCTCCTATAAAATTATGAAAAGTGATGTTACGTTATTTATCATATTAGGTGACGATATGTACGCAGATAGCATTTGGGACTGAAATAGTTATATACAACATATTGTTGCGAGAAATAATTCAAGTTCGCAGTAAGGCGAACATGTAAATATGTATGTATGCGTGATTAAGTGGATGCAATTAAAGATTGTGTGTCTTTCTTTACAAAATAAAATAATATTTTTATTGACAAATTAACGTTAGAACGCAAATAAATACAGTTAAATTATATGAAGCAAACATTAACTGTGTGTTGATAAGTGATGGGATGAAAGCATTTTAGTATTTGTGACACGCAAATGAAAAATAAATTTTATGTTTATACATAAATATAATATATTGTATTTGCATATATATATATATAAACAAAAAACATCGCTAACTTCGGTTTCACCAATACCCTTCACATATGCAAAAGACTCATTACAAGAACTTCATTTCGATCTTTCAGTTCCGTGATTCGATAGCGGCGGTTCCAACAATTGAGCATTTTTTTGAGGAGAAAAGAACGTGTGTAAAATTTAAGATCGATAAACTGAAAGACTAGTTCGCATATATACAGACAAATGAACAGACAAACGAAGTTTCCTGCTGGGTGTTACAAACATCGAAGCAAACTTAACATACCCTGTTCATACAATCATAAACACAACGAAAATTTTGATAAAAGATGCAGTTTGCCTCGATATTTATATACACAGGTGCTTATATGGAATGTAAAATGGTGAAATGCATCAAGATGACGATAAAGTTTCTTCGATCGTTATCTACTACAATAAAATCAGAGAACTGTTGCAACCGAAATAAAAGAAAAAGCGAAATGCTTATACAGTGGAACTGTAGTTACACATAAATATACGTATCAAATAATGCTATTTCGTATGATAAAATTAACGGCCTTTTTTTTCACATTTCTATTTATTTTTTAGACACTTATAAATTTTGTATTTTATATACTAATTACCTTACGATCAATTGTGTTTTGAACCGATGAAGGCTTTTAGGTCCAATTAAACTTACAAACGAGCGCCGATCTTCGCCGTACACTATCAACAGAAGCGAGCATAATTGCTTTACCCAGCGGCAGAACAGGAAATAGCATAATTAAATCATGAGGAATATACAATACAATACAAAGAAGAAAATATAATTTTACTTAGAGGAAATCTACATCGAAATATTGATATACCTATTTTTATACTCTTGCAACATGTTGCTACAGAGTATGATAGTTTTGCTCACCTAGCGGTTGTTTGGATCACCTAAAACTAATCGAGTTAGATATAGGGTTATGTAAATATAAATGATCAGAATGTTCGGTGGGTAACACTACTCTGTTAGTTTTATGTTACAATGCAAACATGGCGAAATTGGACTACAGCAACGCCTATTTTCCATATAATACAATTTTAAATTCCTACCTGAATCACTCATTTTTCAGTATACAAATCAAGCATCAATGACTTGACTATAACGGGATAAAAGTTTGCACGAGTGCCCTTGCAGTGTGCCACCTATGATCAAAAAACTGTAAAAGTCAAACCAAAACTATTCAAGCTCCCATTTGACGAATATGGGGACCCCTGTGCATATTGCGAACGTTTTCTGTAAGATATATTATAGAAATTCGGAGAGAATCCTTTTTGTAGTTGCGTGTGTATCAAAATTGGATTGAAACAGATCAATAATTCTCTTTGTCTCCATATTCCTAATAAAAACATTTGCGAACTTCCGGCTGACTTTATAAATTGAGTGAGCGTGCCTAAAATGCCCTAGCTCCAACATAACTAATGTCAGGATTACTTCTTGACTTTACTCCTTATATATTGTTGATGATGTGTGAGGTGCCTTAATTAACCTTAAAAAAAAACATCTGTTTCTGTTAATAATATGTAGTAATGCCAAAAATAGATAAAATTTGTCAATACTACACCTATTTTACATATACCTAATAAAAGCTTTCAAACTTCCTGTTGACTTTATACCGTATATATTCGTCAATATGTAAGATATCTTAGCAAAAATAGCAGAACGTATAAAATTGGGTAAAATTTACTTAAATGCCGATTATTATATGAATTCTTTCGCAACATTTCTTAATATTAAGTTTTCCTACACCTGAAGATATTTCCTCAGCTTTGATCCTGGTAAAGTAGCAGCAGTATAAGATGTTCAGCTACACCCAAACTTAGCGCTTCCTTACTTGTTTATTACTACTGTGTTTCTGGTTTATTGTCTTTTCGCTGCATATTTATTTGCAACTTCCAACTTTCTTTATTTTCTTCGCCTGTTTGTAACTTTTTCGAAGTAAGCCGATTTTCTCTCGTTATCCGCACTTTGAAAGAGTGGGCCGTCCAATTGGAGTTCATTTAACAGCAAGCAACGGAAGACCAACAATGCTGCGCCGTGGGCTTCACTCAACGGCCAGCGACGGCAATACGGCGAAATCGTGAGCCATGCTCCAATCTTATTTTCCTTAGTGTTGTGCTTCCGCACTTCCTACATTTCCTTCCTGCTTATTATGACCATCAACTATGTCACAGTCTTTTCGTTTATTTATTCCCTTTTCTTCACAATTATGACACTGCGATACTTGCATATAAACACGGCGATACGGGTATTTAGACGCCGTCACTGCCATGATATATGCATGTAATTTTTTAATGCGTTTATTGGCTTCTTTAAATTGGAACTAGTTTTTATTACCGTTACTTGTGTATGGTAATCAATTTAACTGGAAGTTATATGCACTGAAGAAACATTAAAATTGATTATTATGTCACTCTTAG